ATTAAATAATAAAGAAATAGTTTGTGGATTCTGTGAATATCATTTAGAAAAAACTGAAAGTCTAGTTTATTTGGTACATATTCTTCTTAGTATTCTCATTTCCTCAAGTGAATGGGAACAAGGATTTTTACAAATGAATCTCATCATAACACCAGCAAGAGCTTTATTAATAAACAAAACAGATTTTATATTGATCCTTTAAAATGTATTGATTTGTGGTTACTTAGTGGAAGACATTCAGCTGTGTATATATATATATATATATATATATATATATATATATATATATATATATATATATATATATATATATATATATATATATATATATATATATATATATATATATATATATATATATTCATGACAAAATACTGCTAAAGTTAATGAATATCCTTACTTCCTGGATTGCAGTTTACTTATCTAAATGCCACCAAAGAATTAAAACAAATGATCTCACCACTGACTGGATATGTATTGAAGCTGGTGTACTTCAAGGTAGTGTTCTTGATTCAATCCTGTTCATTCATTTTATGAATTGATAAACAACTTGATGTATATTAAACATGTATGAGAGACATTATACCAAACAAAAAATAAGGGAGAAAAAAAGGGGTTTGTTCAAAAAAAATATTCTCTATCAACACATTTGCTGATATTCTGATGATAGATCATCCAGACCATATTTTAAAAACCGAATTTGAAAAATTTTGGTTTGTAAAAATATGAAAAATTGTTTGGCTAAAATACTCAGAAAAATTTCGGAATAAAATTTCCTTTGATTTCCTCTTAATTAGAGCTGAGCTGTTTCTAACTTTTTTTTCAAACTTTTATAAATTTTATGAGTGCAGAGTAAAAAAGCTTAAAAAAGAAATATATTATTAAAAATATGTATCTAAACTTGTTTGTATGGAAAACGTTTTCTATATTAGGGAACATTTTTTTACACAATCTTAACGTTCACTTCATACTTTACTACTTTAAGGTAATTTGTTTGTTACTTTTAGACTTTTAATTCTTAATTTGATATTTTTATATCTATTTAATAACACTTTTGGATCTTTTAGCTTTTTAGCAATTAAATTTTTATATTTTTTAATAGCACATTTAGTTTGTTTTTTAACAAACCTTTTCATATTGTTATATCAGACTTAAATTATTATTATAGCAGAATTAAATTATTATTATAGCAGTTTAGCTTCTAGTTTCTTAAATAAAAATAAACTGTTAAAACAATACAGTTTTACTCAAACTTTTAGCTTTTTATTAATATGTTGTTTTTTTAAATTTTTTTTTTTTTTTGCTGTCTGTTTTACAGGCACATTATCACATTTTTCTAAATCGGTTTTAAATAATATATAAAAATTGAAATTTTGGAAAGTTAGCATAGTAAAAATTAGCATAGTATAGGACCAAGTATTTTTGACACTATCTCTTATAAAACTGACGAAGATATACAAAGGAATAGACAAAAAAGATAAAAGATATACAAACTATCAACTGCTCATTATATCTTTTTATCAAGTTTCTTTGTACACTAAAAAAAAAAAAGATGCTGTTGACAAAAATACTCAAAAAGTTAATGGGTTTAAAACATTGTTACAAAAACAATAGTATTCAGGGATAAGGATGCGTTTAATATATTTGCTAATGCAGAGGACAAATAGTTTCTGATCAGCTGATGACTAAATCAAAGGCTTCCATAGGCTAAATTGACCTTAGAAGTAGGATCATGGGGGGAAAAAAATGTTTTTACAGAAAAGTACAGAACATACAGTATAGAAAATTTCTTATTTTATCCAATTAATTTTAGTTTCTGTTCAATGTAACATATAATTTTATTAAAGAACTAAATCCCATATGTGTTTTTTTACCTTAAATCATTTAATTAAAAGCCATGTGCATATAATTGTTACCAAAATAATAAAAGCTCCTTGAAAACTCTAAAAAAGGATAACTCAAACTTAAGCAATTTTTTAAGTTCCATAATAAGTTATTAGAAACCAACTTCTAATAATTTACATAATTACTTGTTACCAAGACAATTAAAAATGATGCTATTTAAATAAACTTAAGTTCTTTGGATCTAAATTGTCATTGTATATAGTTATTATTATTGTATATAACTATTGCTTATGCTCTAAATGCTTCCGCAATCACATGTCATACCTCACTAAGGAGTTCATTTTTCTTTTTTTTTACAACCTCAACCTTAAGGACAACAGTGGCAAAAGATAAAATATTATTGCTAGAGAATTGTGACAAAAAAATATATACTTGAATAAAAAAAAATTTAGGGTTTGTTAAAAATATAAATTCAGATAAAACATTTTTGTTTTCTCAGGCAACTAGTAGCAGATTGGTAAAAAAAAAATAGAGAAAGTTTTATTGTTTCAAAAAATGTGATTTTTTATTTATGTGATTTAGAGACCTTTAATAAACGTAGAGTAAAGGTTTATAAGAATATAAGTTCCAAAACATTTTGTAAGTTGAAGAAAACAACAAAAAAATGTTATCCAAACAAAGAAAAAGAAGTTTAGAAGCAATTAGATGTTAGATTAAAATTTTCTTGATTTAATAGACTGTTTTATATTATTTTTTTTAATTTTTGTTTTCACATTTAAATGTTTTATATTGTTTTTTATTTTTATTTTCATATTTAAATGTTTATATTGTTTTTTTTATTTTTGTTTTCACATTTAAATGTTTTATATTGTTTTTTTATTTTTGTTTTCACATTTAAATGTTTTATATTGTTTTTTATTTTTGCTTTCACATTTAAATGTTTTATATTGTTTTTTATTTTTATTTTCATATTTAAATGTTTATATTGTTTTTTTTATTTTTGTTTTCACATTTAAATGTTTTATATTGTTTTTTTATTTTTGTTTTCACATTTAAATGTTTTATATTGTTTTTTATTTTTGTTTTCACATTTAAATGTTTTATACTATTTTTTTTATTTTTGTTTTCACATTTAAATGTTTTATATTGTTTTTTTTATTTTTGTTTTCACATTTAAATTTGTAAACACAAAAATAAAAAAAACACAAAACCTTCAGGTAATAACTAATATTAAATGCCTAAAATAATTATTTGTTTAAAATTTATTTTATCTACCAAAAAAAAAAGACATTTGTCAAAAGTAACTATTTTTACAAAAAAAAAAAAAAAAATAAAACAGCAGCTTGCAAACAGTTTTGATTTTTAGTTTTTTTTTCTAGCATTTTTTCAAAACATTTTACAATATCAACATTTTACAATAACAAATAACATAATGATAAATATGTTAAAAAAGTGAAAAAAAAAATTCAAAACCAATACTTAAGATTTTAAAAAATAAATTAAAATTAATGATATTTTAATAAATTCAACTATAACAACCCAGTTCATTTTTAACTATTTTTGCTCTAAGATGTTACACCATAAAGTGTTAACAACTTATTTTTCCTGTTAGTAACAATGTTATTCTTGCAATGTCATTTTATAAAATATTATACATATTGAATTTTAAACAAAATCATTTTTAAACTTTACAAAAACGATAAAACATAAAATGTGTTCAGAAAAGTACAGTTGATTTGTGTTAAATGAGTTTATAATAGTACAGTTAATTAGTGTTAAAATGTGTTTTGAATAATACAGTTATATTGTGTTAAAATGCTTTATTTTTAAGGTATGAAATAAAAAAACTTAAAAATGAGAATGCAGAACAAAAATTTTAAAGATTCAAAAAAATTATTTTTAATATTTGAAAAAATGCAAAATAATTAATATTTTGTATTTTTATCTAGATTGTATTTTTTGACCGTCATAAAACCTTTATGCATTTGTGTAATAAAACAAGCTTTTCATACCAACGCAATTTCCAGAAGTATCTTTTTCATAACCTGGTACACAGCTGCAGGGGTTTAGTGATCTATTAACTGCTGAAACAATACATTGAGTATTAGGGTCTGGACAGGAACTTTGATCACAGTCACATGTTACACCATTTGGATATTGTCCACAAATAAGTGCAGGATGGCACTCACTGCAATTACCAGCTAAGAAACATGAAATTAAAAAATAAAAATGAATATAATAAAACTACTATATAATAGTTTGTGACAATCTAATAGCAAAATATATATATATATATATATATATATATATATATATATATATATATATATATATATATATATATATATATATATACTCTTGCATGTCTCTTGCGTGGCATCAAAAAATATTTCCCATAAACTGTAGTTTTAAAGAGCGCGTTAATAAACCAGACCAGAAAAAGTTTTAAAAATTAAATTTTTTTTTTTAATTGATAGACTGCCTGGCCAAACCAAACCCTCAGTCAATGTAGCAGCACTCTCTTGCGAGTCAGGCTATTTGTCAGTCGTTGTAGCAGCACTCCTTTGCGAGTCAGGCTATTTGTCAGTCGATGTAGCAGCATTCTCTTGCGAGTCAGGCTATTTGTCAGTCGATATAGCAGCACTCCGTTGCGAGTTAGGCTATTTGTCAGTCGATGTAGCAGCACTCCGTTGCGAGTCAGGCTATTTGTCAGTCGATGTAGCAGCACTCCGTTGCGAATCAGGCTATAAGATAGTCGATGTAGCAACATTTACGCATGTTTAAAAAATGTTTTTTATTAAATCAATAACAAAAACACCACTAATTAAAAAAAACTTTCTAGTCGTTATAATTGCGGTTTTTTAAAAATTTTTTAAAAAACAATTAAATTTAATGTACTTCCGCATAAATTAATTGCTTTGACATTTCGATGACAATCAAAAACAGCTTAAGAGACGAGGTAATTAAAATTGTAGTTGTAAGAGACTTTTTTTACATTAAAACGCTCTTTCGACTACACTATAAGGGTATATATATATATATATATATATATATATATATATATATATATATATATATATATATATATATATATATACATACATATATATATATATATATATATATATATATATATATATATATATATACATATATATATATATATATATATATATATATATTTATATATATATACTATATATATATATATATATATATATATATATATATATATATATATATATATATATATATATATATATATATATATATATATATATATATATATATATATATATATATATAACAGAATTACCAACAAAAAAATATATAAAAAACAGAATTACCAACAAAATAGTATATAAAAAATAGAATTACCAACATTCATGGAAATACTGATGACTATTGCTTTAATGTTTGTAGTTAGAAATGTCAAAGTAAGCTATAATGAAAGTAATTTAAAATTAAATTTATAAATATTTAAAAAAAAAACACTTTTGATTCTTACTATATTTGTATAAAACTGCTATTTTAAAATTCTAAAATTTCTCTATATACTTATATACCCTTTATTAACTCTTTTTTTATTTATTTTTTTGACTTTTGAATTGAATTGATCAAGATAGCAAATTCAACTTGTGAATTGTTGTGAGTTGCAGATTTTTTTTATCATCAAGTCATCTTCTGAAGCCATAATTTAGTATTGTTAGTAGAACTTTTGTTAGATGTGATACTTTTCATTCTGTTCCATGATTAACTCACCCTGTGATTTGTAATTTAATTTTCAAAATGAAAACGCTGAACTGTAAAAATAGGTTAGTGAAAAGCTTTTTAAAATCAGAATCTTTTACATTTTATATATAAGTCTAGAATTCTTTTTAACAATTCAGGTTGACAAAAAGTATTAAATTTTGAATATTATCATTACTAATCTTTAAAATTATTGTTATTATTGCTGTTTTTATTACTTTTACTGTTATTATTATCATCATTGCTATTTTTGCTATTGTTACTATTATCATTATTAATAGTTCTACATTATTATTATTATTGTTGTTATTGTTGTTGTTCTGTTGTTGTTGTTAATATTTATTACTAATAATATTACTGTTTTTTTTTTTTATTCAACTGTAATTATTGTCATTACTATTGCATTTACTACAATTAAATTTAAATAAAACTTTAAAGTATTTGGCTGTATCATATAAAGCTTGTTTTAAAATGTCTTTGCCATGATGCAAAATATTTACATCGAGAAGTATATAAATAATGTTATACAGCCTAGAACAAAATAAACATGTTATACAGCCTAGAACAAAATAATCTTTTAAGATTTGTGCCATTTATGCAGATGCTTTTCATTTTTTAGAAAAAAATTGTACAATTTAATATTTTGCCGATTTATAATTTTGAACATTTAATAAAAAATTAATAATAATCAATACTAATTGACATTGACATTTTCTGTATCAGGTATCAGTATTAAATACAAATATGTAATCCAGTAAACACAAAAACATAATTATTTTTGATAATATGTTTGCTGGATGATTTTTAAACATTGTTTGCATCAAATGATCAACTGTAGAAGGACCCAAACAACATGCAACAGGAGTCTTATTGAGTAAAACACTTTTCAGATTCATACTTAGAGCCAAGTACACTCTTGTAAATGAATCTGATCCTATTACAATATATCATTTAAAGCAAGACTATTTGCAAATAAATTTTTCTCTAATAAATTGCTTGAATTGACAGGAAAAAAAAAGATTTTTAATTGCTAGACATCCAAACTTCTATGATTTCTATTCTTTGACAGCCAAGTTTAAAAACAAAATTCAGTTGACTGAATCTTTTTTTCCTTTTTGCTTGAAAATAGTGTATGTGGTTCCAATTTATATAAATTCCGTTAATTACTCTAACCCCACTAACCATTAATCATGACTGACCTATGCTTATCACACATAATCCAATAAAAACTTTTATGTATAAATATGGTGAGAATCGCGTTAGTATTTAGTGTCATTTTTAGTAGCCATACATAGACCATACTAATGCTGACCCATAAAGGATAGTAGCAAACATATGACTGACATAAGCTATATGTGGCTCACATAATTGATCTGATTTAATGCAGTTTTTATAAAGTATTTTAGGTACCAATGGACCGCAGCAATGTTATCCTATAAAGTTTATTATATATAATAATATTATAATATCTTGTCAGATAAACAGCTCAAAAATTTCACTAAAATTGTTTTCATCTATCTCTCTATGAAAAGCAATCATATTTTTAACTCGCTAGCCATAACATTTTAAATAAAACAAAGTGAAAAATAAAATTACAATGAAAAAAACCCAACTAATACAAAACTTTAAAATTTTAATTCAAATAATAAAAATTCATTTTTAATTAAACATTAATAAAAAATTTTAAATTAAGCATTGATAGAAATACTTGCAGTATAAGTCTGACCCACTGTATACTGGGTAGTAGATGTTAAGTCAAAATCAGTAAAACCAGAACTTAACTGCTGTTTGTATGATGTCTGATTAACTGAAATTTCTGAAAATTAAAAAAAAATTAATAGTAAGTATAATAGTAGTAGTAGTAATAGTAGTAGTAGTAGTAGTAGTAGTAGTAGTAGTAGTAGTAGTAGTAGTAGTAGTAGTAGTAGTAGTAGTAGTAGTAGTAGTAGTAGTAGTAGTAGTGGTAGTAGTAGTAGTAGTAGTAATGGTAGTAGTAGTAGTAGTAATTAAAAAAATTTTAAAAACATACCAATAGTAACCTTGTTAGTAGGAAAAAACGCTCTAAAATTAATTGAGCCTGTTAACAATCCTCCCCAGTAAACAAAATCAGTTTTCAAGTAGGTAAATGCTGGGGTAGGAATCCAACTTAAAATTGTTTCTAAAAGTAAATATAAAGTTTTTTTGAAATGGAAACACTAAAATAAAATGACTATTTCAAAGTTTTTTGTAATTTTGTATATTAAAAAAAAGTTGAACTTTCATTAAAATGTATTTCTATATAACAGCATGTGTTAAATTTAGACTTATAAACAGATTTCCTCAGAAGAATTCTATCTCAGAACTTTTTTTAAAAAAAAGTCTTTAAACGCAAAAAAAACTATTTTGTTGTTGTTACTGTTTGTACCTTCTCTATATCATAGGCAGCTGCACAGTATGACAAGTTTAACACTATTTTGAAAGTAGTAGTAGAAATCAGGTCTCGGCAGGAATAAATGAGTGTGAGAGAGGAGAAAAGCTCTCTTCAATCTAATGTTACTAATGTTACAAAAATGTGTATACAATAAGCATTGTTTATCGTGCCGTGAAAAAATTCTTTAGACAAGCGTTTTCTTTGGATTTCCACTCTAGCAATCCATTTATTCATTAACAACAATATTCATTCAATAAAAAATTTAATAAACAAAAGCTATATAAGTTTTTACTGTTTATAAAAAAAATTATATATTTTCATACTGTAATAAAATGCAGTAAGTTAAATAATTAATGTTCATTTTGTAAGACTTTGCTTATTATGAGATTTAACTTGATATGAACTTGCTTGTTATATGTTAAAAGACTTCCTTGCTTGTTATATGTTATAAAGACTTCCTTACTTGTTATATGTTATAAAGAATTCCTTGCTTATTATATTTTATAAAGACTTCCTTGCTTGTTATATGTTCTAAAGACTTCCTTGCTTATTATATGTTATAAAGACTTTTTCGCTTGTTATAAGTTATAAAGACTTCCTTGTTACTTAACTCTTTGTATTTTATTTTTTATATATTACTTGTCAAGATTTTATTATTGTTATAAATTGAGGAAAAAAAAAAGCCAAAATTAATTAAGAATTCAAATCTGAAAGAGCTTATCCAAATTATTTATTGAAAGCTCAAATCAATATTGAAAAATTAATATTAAAAGCTGAAAAAGGTGGTAAAGTTCAGATAACCATACTAAATAGAAATATTTTTAAGAAATGGAACAAAAATATTTTTTAAACATTCTTGAAGTTTCAACTATTCCACTTTTGGAATTTTAAAATTGGAAACTTTGAAAATAGAAAAAGTGTTCAATTTTTAACGTTTCAAGTCCAAATAAAAAAATATTTATGACAAAATAATTATTTTTGCAGTTTTAAAATAAAACTTTTTTTGTTAAATGTTACAAGTTGGAAGCCACAAGTCTAGGTTTTTGACAGATTTACTTACTTTTATTGCAAATGATAAATCTCAAACATCATGATATTATATATTAGAGGTTACTAAGTATATATTGTCATAACTAAGTATATATTTTCATTGCTAGGGGTCAACGTCAGAAAATATCTTTGCTGCTTTTAAGAATGCAATGAATGAAATACAGACTGTAAAGAAAAAAGTTTTTTTACTTAGATAACTTAGATAATTTTAAAGTTTGTAAATTGTATTAAAAATATCAGCAACTGTACAGAGTGTAGCATAAACTTAATACTAAATGCTCTTATGCCATACCAACTGCAGTTATGAAGTAGTTTAACTGAAGTTATGAAGTAGTTTAACTTAGTTTATGAAGTAGGTAATGATTTTGGTAGGTAGAGATCATAAAAAAATATATAAATAAAATACAACAATTATTTTATTTATGTTTGATTCTACAACATTGGTTCATTACAACACATGCAACATTTAAAAAATATTAATAAATAAATAAAAAATGATAATATATAAAATATTGAAAAAAATCCCTTCTTCATTTCTCTAATTAAATATTTTTTGTTTGCCAGTCAATGTATGCACCAAAACCCTCGTTTAAATGAAACTTGATTAAAACCTATTTATGCTGCATGATGTCATCGTTGATATTTAATGAATACATTTTTTATCTACACACTAAACCAATCCCATTAAATTAGCAATATCAATAAATGTGGCATTGTTTAACAATAAAGTGCTTGTTAAAAAAAAATAAAAAAGGTGAAAAAAATACTTAAAGAAAACATATTAGACTTACTATCAAAAAACCATCCAGAGCTTCCAGGAACAGCAGTAACAAATCCACAAGGATTTGAAGAAGTTATTGTTGGGCAAGATATGATGGATCCTTTAAAGATAAAAATAGTTTTTATACTTTTTTGTTCTCAGTAGAATGTTTAACAACTAATTCAAATAAAATTTATGTAAATACATTAAGACAACTTTACCATCAATTGCAATAGTAATTAAGTCCAAATATATTGAATCGCTACCACTATACAAAATTGAAATCTAAATTTTAATCATAATTAAAAAATTAATATGAAATAGATTTATAGAGAAGTAATAAAAAAAAAGGTTGAGCAAACTACTCTTTCTTTTTTAATGTTTTTATTTTGTTTGCAATTTTCTCATCTTGAACTCCAAAAATTGTTCAAATATCCTCAGGAGACGTTATCACACACTTAAAAATCAATAATTTAAATTGAGCCAAATATATTTTATTCAATTAAAATATATACAATATAACTTATATCTTCCTTTTCATTTATTAACAATAAAACAATTAATGTTAACATGATTTTCAACTGCAGTTTTTTTAAAGATACTGATTGGTTTATAAAAGTTTTTAAAGATACTGATTGGTTTATAAAAGTTTTTTAAGGATACTGATTGGTTTATAAAAGTTTTTTAAAGATACTGATTGGTTTATAAAAGTTTTTTAAAGATACTGATTGGTTTATAAAAACTTTATGTTTTTCTAATACCAACACAATAACTTAAAAAAAAAAAGATCATTTTAAGATTATAATGCAATATCAAATGATTTATAGTGTAGATTACTATTTTAATATAAGATTTGGTTAAATCTAGCTGTCATGGTTTAACTATGATTTGGTTAAATCTTAGCAATTATCTTTGTTTTACTTTCAAAAAATTGATTTTCATATCTAAAATTGCACATAAAATGACTGCTTGGACTCTAGACATTTCAATCAGCATGTAGTTCATACTTTAAGCAAACGTCAAACTAAGAAAAAAAAGTTAATTTTTGCTGAATAACTTTAAAAAATGGAACTTCTCATCATTAGTGCGTTTTTAGATTCTAGATTTTCATATCTGAACATATTGTTGTTATATTTTATAAATAAATTAAAAAAGAAAAAAAAAAAAACTTTGATCCAATACCTTCGATGGTGAATGCCAAAAGCCAATAATGATATACTTAAATACTAAATAAGTTTGAAAATATTCAAACTGGGACTTATTTAGTATTTAAGTATTTATATCAATTGTGAGCACATTTTATGAGTTTAGGAAAAAGTAAATGAAAAAAAAAAAAAGTAGCTACCAATCTCCATAATAGTGGTACTCCAGCCATTGAGAAGATAAATAAACTTATAAAAATTCCAAATATAAGAAATAAAAAAACTTACTAAGTTAGCTGATGTAACTTGATCTCTATAATAAAACTTAACTGCAGAATACTGATTCCAACCATTATTGCTAATTGATATTGTGGTTTCTTGAACAAGTTCTAAATTTAACTTGAGGAATCGAACAGCTTAAAAAAAAAAAATAAAACAACTTTTAATTCCAATAAATTCAGGTATGCTTGACAAAATTTCTATTGCACAGACATGCTTCTTTTTTATAAAATTAGATTAGGAATATTGACTTAGTATTCACTATTAAAATAGTGAATACTAAGTCATTGTTTCTTTTTTTATTAATGTAGATTATCTGGTCAGATCGAGCATTAAGCATTAAACCTCTTAGTTATGAGCAAGAACACTAACTGTGCCACAACCGCTAATGTATAAAAAAGTATAGAAAATACCTTAGGTGTTTTTCCGTTTTTAAATGAAGCTTGAGTTAACAAATTTTTATATCAAATAAAAATATACCTGCAAATTAAATGAAAAATAGGTTTTAATCTGAAAACCCAAGGTCTAAAACTCATAAAATTTTCTTGGACTAACCTGATCTAATTTATTTTATTACTGAAATTTTATCTTTTTTGTCAAATTTTTAAAATTATTAAACATTTTTTGAAAAATGCAGAATACTTTGGTTATTTGGAAATATTCTTTAAAATACTTAAATGGCAACAACATTCTTAGATGTTGTTGAATGTTTTTAAATAATTATAAGAGTTTAAATAGTATAAAAGCCAGAAAAAATTTTGAGAAACATTTTTTGAACCTATTAATAAAACCATACTGAAAAATAAACTCCAACTTTACAAAAATTTTAAGACTAATTCAGTAAGAGCAAATCTTAATAATATGTTTAACAATCTTGTTTGTGGCATTCACAACACTTATATTACTTTTTTAATTCAATAATCATACACTTTTTTAACTAAATAAGTCACAGTGGTCAATATTAATAGATCTTTTAAAAGTATACAACATCATTACGCATGATAAGTTGTTAAGTTAAAAATCTATGGTTCTTATCCTTCGTGTTCATTCAGAATTTTTAATTATTATTTTTATATAACTTTTTTTAAGTTAAAGATTTCCAGTTTAAGTAAAAAGAAAACCTAAAACTTCTTGCAATTTTGCATTAGTGGTCATAAACAAAAAATCTTTTTAGCACTTTTAATTTATTACTTAATTTTTCATTTATTGATTTTGTATCCAAAGGCCAATGTTCATTCAAAATCTTTATTCATGTTAAACATGCATTGAATAATTTTTTACAACCAGATATCCTTCTTGACGTTAACCTGTTTTGTAGATTAGGACAGAGTAATTTTATTTAAAAAATGCCACTAGGAGGACTACCATCTTTGGTTTATATGATCATTCTACCCTTACTCATAATTTGAGGTTTTGTATAAGAATTTTTTTTTTCTTAGTTAAGTTGCTTTCACCTCTACAAAAAATCCATACAAAAACTTTAAAAAAATTATAAACTGGAAAGTAATATTTCATTTGCTTTTCATCCTGTTTCATTTGTTTTATTTAATTTTATTCACTTCTATTGTTTCATTTCATTCTATTTACTTTATTTGTTTCATATTATTCTATTAAACAAAGTTTTGATTTCACAGTTTTAATACAGATTTTAAAGCACAGCAACAAGGTTTATAGAAAAAATTTGAAAACATTCTTTCTGACTTTCTGCCAATAATAAATTGATAATCTTTACAAAAATAGTTTTTTAGACAAATAATTTTTCTGATATGTTAAAAGATTCTATACTATATTCTATACATTCTATACTAACAAAATTTTAAGCTAAAATTGATTTAATAAAGAAAAAATTATTGGAAAAATCTGAGTCATCCTAATTTAAAAAAATGCTTTTTTATGTGTTTGTATAAAACATTTTTCTTCTAAACTCCATTTCTATAAAAAAAAATCCACAAATAATTGTCATCTGATTGTATTTTTATTATATATATTTAAATAAATAAACTTAATCTGTTAATTTGCAACCAAAACTTAAAATAAGAGAAATTGTTTATTACTTAAAACATTTATAAAACTTTTGTTTAAAAACTTGTGCAAAAAAAAAAAAAAAACATACTCAGTAATCATAAAGTGATGCTAATATGATCACAAGGTGTAATACTAATTTGATCACAAAACTTAATACTAAAACGATCACAAAGTGTAATGCTAATACAATGACAAGGTGTAATGCTAACATGATCACAAAGTCTAATGCTAACATGATCACAAAGTTTAATGTTAACATGATCACAAGGTGTAATGTTAATACAATCACGAAGGGTAATGTTAATATAATCACAAGGTATAATGTTAATACATGATCACAAGGTGTAATGCTAATTTTATTACAAAGTGTAATGCCAATGTGATTACAATGTGAAATGTTAATATGATCACAAAGTGAAATAATAATACGATCACAACATAGGCACCCACAGAAAATTTTCTAAGGGGGGGCAAAACATTTTTTGTTATTGCTTTTTTTCCTGTTATCTATTATGTAAAAATCAAGATATGTAAGATATAAAATAAAGAGAAGAAAAAAATTATATGTCCGTGGAAAAAAAAAGACAATTTAAACTTGTCAGCACCGTTTTTGTGTATAAAATATTCACATTTTGTGTATAAAATATTCACATTCACAAAATACAGGAAGGAGGGGGCAAGTGCCCCCTTTTGACCCCCCTTGCGGGTGCCCATGGATCACAAAGTATAATGCAAATATGATCCCAAGGTGTAATGCTAATATGATCACAACATGTTATACTAATATGATCACAAGGTTTAATGCTAATATGATTACAAAACATAATCTTAAGATGAGCTAATAAGCTATTTAGTACTAGATTACTATACTAAAATTTTTTCCCTTAATTCATGAAAAATCTTTTTTTACTTAATTTATGTAAAATCAAATTTTTGACAATTTTACTGATTACTATTTTCAATTTTATATATTTCTTCAACAAATAAATTTTTTCATTTAAATGAAATAAATGTTATTTATTTTATGTTAAAAGAAATTTTTATTTATTTATACTTTTCTGTAAAAAACAAAAAAAAAAACAATTAAAAACCTTGGAAAAGACATTAATTATATTTAAATATAAAAGAAAACTTGTTTTTTAAACACATATTTAAAGTTACTTTACCCAGACTAGAAGGTTGAAGGGTGTAAGCAAAGAATGATACAGCAATTTTTCCACCATAATATGGTACCTGTGGTAACCTTAGTTCATTATTAATTCCTTTAGCTGTTACAACCCAATCGCCATCTATAATATAAATATTACTGAAGATTATTCAACTGTTTTTATAAAATCAACAATCACATTAGACATAAGAAAACCATCAGAAGTGTTTTTAATATCAAAGGTGTATATTTAAAATCAGAGATTTACAAAAAAACTAACTATAAAGATTTTTATTTAACCCATTATGAAGTTTTTGCATTAACTTTGAGGTATTGATAAAAGGTATTAAAAAATTTAGTTATTAATTAAAGGCTTTTTCATCTAATTAACTTTTTTATAAATAAACCACATTGTAAAGCCTGAAAATATAAAAACAAAAAAAAATTATAAAATTTTTGGTATCTTTGTTTGAAAAGATTTATGAAAACATATTTAATATAAAACATATGATTAAAAAACCACATGCTAAGGTCAAACATGTAAATAAGTAAGTAAAGTAAAATAATGCAATAATTAACTTTTTTATTCCCATTTTTGGATTTAAAAGCATTCTTGAATTAAAGTTAACCTCAAAATAAATAAAATTTTAATCAATTTAAGTTAAACTAAGAAATGTAAATGCTAGTTATGTATAATTCTTGTGAATTTAATTTAATAATTTAAAACTTATTTGTTGCGCTTTTCACTTGAGAAAGAAAAGATAAAGATTTTTTTCAATATATTTATGATGAAAAAAAGTTGATTCAAAATTTAAAAATGAAAATTAATTTATTGAACAGACTATTACTATTTTGAAAATGTTGTTAACTATTTTAAAATTTTAAATAAACAACATGTTTATTTCTTAAAATATTTCTTATACTAAAAACTGTATATGTCTATATTTTCAATTTGCTTTTCTATTCAGATATTGCCCTCTGTTAAATAAAACTTATGTGGTAGTTATGGCTTATTTTTTAAGTGTAATGGATGAACTCCATCACATCTTAGGTATACACCATATTCAACATATTCTTCACTTAATGCCTTGTGCATTATAATTTTGTAACAACATTTAAAAAAAAAAAGACCACCTTGACAGTGTAGCATCTTAAACCTTGGGGGTAATATACTTATGTTATTCAGTGAACAATAAAAGTTTTTAACATTTCTCAAAAAAAGCTTAATTATACCTTCTAAACTTAAGTTTGGAAATAAAAAAAAAAGACGAAAAACCCTATATTAAAGTTACTATACAGTTTAATCTTTACATAAAATTGTTTGTTATTTTTAAGATGCAAAAAATATATTGTATATTCAATCTTTTTATATAATTATCGTGTCATATGTTGTTGTATAATTATCATGTCGCTTCTAAGCTGTAAAATAAAAAGCTTTTTTTTATTCTAGTTATAACATTGAGGCTTGGATAAAAGTAACTTAAGCTAGTAACTATGCAAAATGAAGCGTCAGACATTTTAGATATCATTATCAACCAAATAAAAAATGGTACCACTACATTTGTAGTATCAAAATACTCATTTCTGGCCTACTGTGCAAAAGGAACTAAATATTGACAAGTGCAAAAAGAACTAAATATTTTAATATTGTGTATTCAAAAAAAATTTAAAAAAATATCTAGAAATATGTATAAATAATATTATAGTAGTTTCATACAGTAATAGTTTTTTTTTTACTTAAGAAATCTGTTTGTAATGTTTATAACTTTAGAAATATTTTGTAACATTTATAACTTTAGAAATCTGTTTTTAATATTTAGTTATCTAAAATTAAAGTGTGTATCATCAAATCATGATAATCATTGTCAAGTTGTTTTTTTATATATAAAGTTTTATAAAATAACAACAGATAATATAAATAATTTATATCACCTGTTGTTTCTAAAGTTACCTTTCTTGGGCACATTTATACTTGAATACAAAACTCTTTGAAATGGTTGGTTGTTGATAGTCTCTGTCATCCAATCATCACTTGTTTCAAAGCTTGAGAACCAAACATTAGTCAAATCAACACCTTCAATGAATTTTATTTTAAATTATGCTAATCTTATTTTATTTTTTTTTATTTAAAAAGACTTTTTATAAATTCTATGAAATCATTTCAACAAGTAGTTAAGATATATAAAGATTACACTGGCTAACAAAGATTTTGCGGCAAAACATTTGGGGGTCATTTTATAGGTAACTTGTTGCCCTGATTCCGAATATGACCTCCGTTTTCCTAGATTGGCTCTAGTTTTTGAGATACAGGGTGGTCACGAAAGTACATTAATAGCAACAATTTATGTTAGGTTGGAGCGTAATTCACAAAAAAAACACTAGATATATATATATCAAATTGTTTATGGGGAAGTACATACAATGCTAATAGATCAAAACATTCAAATCAGTACAATGAAATCACAATTAATGCATTAAAAATCGGTGTCTGTATGATTGTCTTTTGTGTGGACAATGTGGACAACCACGTTGAAGGCTCCAACAATAGTCAGCCATCATGTGTGTATCCAATCTTCCTTGGTATCTTTCTTCCATTACCTTGATATCTTGATGGAACCTCTCCCCTTGTTCCTCACTATAACTTCCTAGATTATCGGGAAACCGATCTAAGTGACTATGTAGAAAGTGAACTTTTATGCTCATATTAGCTTTCAATGTTTTGAAGTCTGAAAGCATTTTCTGTACGATTTCTTCATAGTTGGGAGATTTATGGTTGCTCAAAAAGTTATGAACAACCAAGACAAAACTTTTCCAGGCAGATGCTTCAATATCTGTCATTGTATATAGGAACTGCTCATCCTTGATGATTTGGCAAATTTGAGGGCCGCTAAAGATTCCAGCTTTGATTTTCTCCATACTCAAGCTTGGAAAAAATCTGCAAATATATTTGAAACATTGACCATCTTTGTCTAGGGCTCTTACAAATTGCTTCATCAGTCCTAGTTTGATGTGGAGTGGTGGGAAAATAATTTTTCCCCTGTCTACCAGTGGTTCGTTAATGATATTTGATGCACCTACAGTCATATTTTCCCTTGCAGGCCATACCACCTTTTTCCAGTGGTCTTCTTTAGCCCTACTATCCCACAAACATATGAAGCAAGGGTACTTAGTATATCCACTTTGCTGCCCTAGTAAGAAGTTTACCATCTTTAAATCAACACATATAGACCACTGGTGCTCATTGTATCTAAGCTTCTGCAACATCATTCTTATATTTTCATACTCCTCTTTCAGTTTTGTTGAGTGAAGTATTGGGATGGATGCATAACTATTGCTATTGTGCAATAAAACACACTTCAAACTTCTCATCGAACTATCTATAAACAATCGCCAATCTTCTGGTCGGTATTCAGGTAACCCCATTTGGAGGAGGAGTCCAGGGATGTTCCTACAGTATAATATTTTTTCTTCTTGAATGAAATATGGAAGAAGTGCTGCCTCTCTTGTCCGAAAAAAAGTTATTTTACATTCGGTCTTCAAACTGTTCTTTTCACTTAGTCTAGATGCTAAAAGCTCAGAATCTTGCTTGGATAGACTTAAGTCTCGTACTAAATCATTGATCACTTCCTGGGAGAACTGTTGCTGTTTAGAAGTACTGTCTTCATATTCACTACCACTATCTGCATGTTCGCACACCAAATTCTGCATATCTTCTTCATCAGACACTGTTAGATCTGGGAGTGTAGTAAACACTGGAATGGGGACATCGTCTGAGTGTGGTACAGGTCGCCTTGCTGATTCCAAATCCGGATACTCAAATTTACGTTTCTTGAAACAATTGATACCTTTCACATTAACCAAACAAAAATAACAGTCACTGTCGTGTTTTTTTTGCTCCCGCCATACCATAAGCACACCAAATTTTAAACCTTTTCTTTGTCCATTTTTCCACTGACGTAGATTTTCGACACACGTTTTACATACAATATGGGGAGCCCAAGACTTATCTTGGTCTCCGAGTTTCATTCCAAAGTATGCCAGATATGCTTGCTTCACAAAGTTAGTAATATTTCTTCTTTGGCTCTCCTGGCAATATTCACCACAGATGTGGCAGAATGCATTGGGGTTATTCAAACATCCTCTTCGTGTAGAACTCATTGTGTTCTAAAAACAGGAAAAAGTATATATATATATATATATATATATATATATATATATATATATATATATATATATATACATATATATATATATATATATATATATATATATATATATATATATATATATATATATATATATATATATATATATATATATATATAAAGGTATGCCCTTTAAAAAGAAATAAAACTATTTTACTGTAAAATATGCATGAACGAAGATATTTGTATAAGAATATATCTGGAACACCCTGTATCTCAAGAACTAGAGCCAATCGTGGAAAACTAATGTCATTTCTGAAATCAGCACACCCGATATACTATAAATTTGTAAAAATATCCTCGGCAGCAAAAAAAAATTTTTTTTTTGTTGGCCAGTGTTATTGATAAATATAATGTATTATATGTATTATAACAATTATAAAAATTGTATATAATGTTTGGAAGAACACCTAAGCAACTATGAAAAAACAAAGACAGCACAAGCCATAAAAGAATCTAAATGAAAACTATTTTAACAAAAAGCAAATAAGATTACCAAATTATCATCTTTAAAAAAGATAGATGCTTTTACTATTAAGAAAAAATAAAAAAAGATGAAACAAAGTTAAAGCTTTAAATTATGTACAAAGGTGAGTGTAAAGTCAATATAGTTTTTATTTAATTTTTGCATAAAATACACTAACCCATGTACATAAAGTATTCTGTCACATAAAAATATAAAAGTTTTCTTCAATTTTTTAAGTGAAAATGGGATTTTAGAAAAGTTATTTAGACAACATTAAAATTAAAAGTACTAGATGACGTAGTTTTCTAATTTTCAACATCGTGAGAAATTTAATTTTTTTTTCTCTTTTGATATATTACTGTTTGACTTATGTCATCACCTAGATTCTTTTTCATAAAAACAAATTATATGCAAATATAGTTCAATTTTTTCTTGTATAATATTCACAAAATCAAAAAAATTAAGTACATAAAATAAATAGAAATAAAGATAATACCGTCTTGACAACCCATGGCCACACCTAAAATGACTACCAGTGCATTATACCACTCCAGGTGACTAAATATACCCAGATTTAACCAATTTTAAGTTATATATAGCCCCAATTACCTATATTGTCCCATCTAACTGAAAAATTATTAGGACATACCAGGACCACCTTTGACAACCCTAAAATGACCACCTGTACAGTTATGATCACTCTCAGAGACCAAAAAGGCCCAAGTTTAAATTCCCGAATCTCAACCACAGGGAAATCCAAGGGTTCCCGTATCCCCAGATTTCCCTGGAGTTCTCGGAATTTCAAAGCTAGAAATGAGGGGATTTTAAAAAAAGCATGTAATCCAGGGTCTTTCAAACGAGTCTTTCACAATTTTAAAAAAAAGTCACACGTCAATTCTTAAAATAAGTCGTCTACATCTAGATTTTTCTTATATTTATAAAAAAAAAAGGTCTTTTAAAAAAAAGTGCTTCCCTAGCCCCACTGGTGTCGTCGGCCCTCGTACAGGGGCAGATTCAAACCCCGTCAAGTGCAAGTGACGGATAAAAAAATAAATAATCACTGATATAATGACGTCTAACATCCGCTTAATTCTAGTTGCTGATCTTTATATTTTTGTTATATTTTGTTAGAATTTTTAACATACAAATTTACAATTTTTGCAAAGCATAGTTTTCACTGTAAGCCTTTTTCTTATTATATTTCTAACTTTCTAAACTATGCTTTGCAGAGGTTGTTCAAAAAAACTACCATTGTAAACTATACTTTACAGGTTATGAGAAAATTATATCGTTAAACTTCCTAATGTAAATTATACTTTGCAGGATATAAGAAAATCAGATAACGTAATTGATTCACCCTATTAAAAGTAGTAATCTGATTCGTTTAAAAATAAATTTTTTTAAAAATCGAAACTATACTTTGCAGCATTAGCAGCAGTTATTTGATTGGTTGCGAATATACTCCGTTCTATCAACAATATATTTCCTTTAAGTCGTAATAAAGGGTTTTTGAGTTTTAGCCTTTAAAGATTAAAACTCAAAAACCCTTTATTACGACTTAAAACTTTAAGCATGGCTTAAACCCTTTATTGCGACTTTACTAAAACCCTTTATTTCGACTTAAAGCTTTAAGCATGGCTTATAACTTAATTGAGGATGTTTTAAAAAGATTAAAAACTGACAATTTTGTCAGTTTAAATGTGTTTTATGAAACCTTATTGGATAAATTTATTAACATCCATAAAAAAATGGCTAGTAATGAAGATTTTTTAAGTCGTTTTGTTTATGCACATTAAGAAGAAATATATCATATATTTCTGCAAGTTTTCTGCCCATATATTATACAAACTTCTGCACATATATTATATGTGCAGAAGTTTGTATACCGTCTCACTTAAAAAACAATAAAAAGAATTGTATTACTCTGAGGTTAGTCACTTTACTTTTTTTTAAAAAATAATTACCTTACTATATTTTAATACAATAAGTTAATCTGTTTTAATGTAAAATTTACTCTTTTTTTAAGTAAAAATATTTAATGTTATTATCGTGTTAACCTAAAAAAAAATTTACTTGTTGACTAATTAACATTTAATAAGCGTCAACACTAACAAATGATATTGACATGTGGTATCTAATATTTACATAACAATTTAAAAGAAATACTTTTTTGATAGAATGGAATATACCTTTATTGATAAAAGAAGTTTAATTCCTAAAAACATGATATAAATATATATATATTTTTTGTCTTATGGTCTGAAACATCTGGATGTTATGTGTCATTTTTTTTTGGTTGCTGAAAATACACTGATAGATGTGTTGAGAGTTTTTCTTCAAATTATCTCTTGAAATTTAAATACATGCTAATTTTTACTGTTAACATCCTTTATTTTCCAAAAAAATTTTCTAACAATAATTTTTACTTTATTAATCTCAAAAGCTTATTGTGCATTTTAGTATCTCATTATGCATTAGATTCTAGCTTTAAAACTAAATATTGTTAAATCTGAAGCCACTGAAGCCATTGCAAACTGTGAGAGCACAGAAAAATGGGCTGGTTTTCTAGGTTTGCTAGATTTATCATTGATTCTTTCATGTTATATTATTTCCTGATACCCAGATTTTGGTGTTAAAAATAAAACAAACTATTTTTCAATCAAGAGATCTCACCACGTACTACCATTAAATTCTTTTCACCGTTTTACATTTTGTTTTGTTATGATGAGAATTTTCAGCCTAGTAGATTTCAGCATAAAATTATATTTCACTGATTTTTATTCCTAAAAAGTGAAAGCTTTCCAATAAATCAAAACAACAGTTTCAAAACTTTTTTTGCTAGTCTTGTCACCGGATAAGTTTCTTGATACAAATCAGACCACTATTGATCAAGTTGCTACAATTGTACCCAGTGCAGAATCTAAAAATCCAAATAAAAAGCCTTATTCTAATCTTACATTCTTTCATAAAACAAAACTAGACTTAAAACCTGCTAGCGTAGTCATTCAAAATACATCTTGTTTCTTAAAACCAAGTAGTTTTTCTTATCAATCACCAATGTCTTCTTCTCAATCAACAACATCTCAATCATTAATATCAAAAAAAAAAAAGATTTTTCTCTTCACTCAAGAACATTTAAGGACAGTTTTCTATCAAAATCTTTTTTTTCTGCAATCATCAAGCTTTGATAAAGTACCTAATTTTATTAATGATAATATTGTATGCCCTCCAAATGTTATTTTACCATCTATAGAAGTACCATCTATAGAAGTACCATCTATAAAAGTACCATCTATAAAAGTACCATCTATAGAAGTACCATCTATAAAAGTACCATCTATAGAAGTACCATCTATAGAAGTACCACCTATAGAAGTACCACCTATAGAAGTACCATCTATAGAAGTACCATCTATAGAAGTATTATCTATAGAAGTACCATCTATAGAAGTACCATCTATAGAAGTACCATCTATAGAAGTACCATCTATAGAAGTACCATCTATAGAAGTACCATCTATAGATGTACTATCTATAGAAGTACCATCTATAAAAGTACCATCTATAGAAGTACCATCTATAAAAGTACCATCTATTAAAGTACCATCTATAGAAGTACCATCTATAGAAGTACCATCTATAGTAGTACCAAAATCTGTGAAACTATTTGAGCAAAATGATGTTGCTTTCTTTAGACAAAAGGTTAAATATTTATTTGACAATGAAATTTTTTTATTAACTAAAAATATGTTTATACCTGATAAAAATTATATTTCTCAAGAAAATTCTGGTCATCAGTTTAGATAAAAAAGTTTTCTTGGCTGAGTTATTCTAAAAGTACTGATAAACTTTTTGTTTAGCTTGTGTATTATTTAACAAAAAAATTCAAATAAGATCACATGAGTTAACACATTTGTATTTGGAGCCTTTCAATAAATGGTCTGATGCTATTAGATCATTTTCAAAGCATGAGTCAGCGAAAGCCTGTTTTTAATATTTTTTTGAGTCGTTTCTCAGGCATAAGTCAACCAATAAATGTTTACATGCGTTTGCTATGCCTTTTTTAAATATTTTTTTGAGTCATTCGTCTGGCATAAGTCAACCAGTAAATGTCATCATTGATGCAAATGTTAAAGAGAAAATAATAAAAAATTGCAAAATACTTTGTCCTATTGTTAATGCTATATTCTTTTGTGGTCACAGAGATGATTTCCAATATCTTTCAAAGGCTGGAGAATATTCGAAATGTGGAACTGGTTGTTTTAAGAAACTTTTAAACTTTGCTGTATAATTGTGCTTTTTAAATTGTGTAAGCAATTTAAAAAGCACAATTATAAGTTTCACAACGACGGAGCTAGTTCTGGTATCTTGGTATATAAATGGTCTTTCTGCTCAGGTTCTAAATATAAATTCAAAGGCTCTATATACACATTGTCATAGCAATCGACTAAACTTATCTGTTTGTGAATCGTGTGATGTGCAATTAGTCTCATAGGTTTTTGATAAAGTCTATGAACTTTCTTATTTTTTTAACTATTCAGAAAATAGACAAAGGTTTTTAGAAGCTAGTTTTTAAAAAAAGTTGTTCTAAAAAGTTTTTAAAAAAAGTTGTTCTAACGTTCCATCAGAGTCTGTTTCAGAATACTTCAAAAGAGCTGTTGCTATCCCTCTTATAGATCATGTATCTACATCTATATCTACAAGATTTAAACCAGAAACTGTAGCTGCATATAAAGGGTTAGCAATTATTCCGTTTATCATGATTTCTTTTCTTAAAAGACCCAAAACCCAATTGTGTTGGAAGCAACAGTTTATAACATTCTGTAATTTTTATATAGATGATTTTCTTAATATTAATATATTGAGTAGAGAACTAGTTCTTAGGGAAAAATATTGGGAAAGTTTCTCTAGGATTATTCCTGACAATATATCTTTAACTCCTAAATCAATCTTTTCCTGGATTTAAAATTATTTATTAAAACTTACTAGGATACTTAAATAGGATACTAGGAACACTTCCTATTACTTCATGTGAGTGTGAGAGGAGTTTTTCTGTTATGCGTTGCTTAAAAGACTATACAAAAACCAAAATATTAGAAGATCAACTTAACGGTTTGGCATTAATGTTTATCCATCAAGAAACTGTTCCTTGTATTGATAATGTTAACAACAGATTATCTATAAAAATTTACAATTTGATTTTAATGATTAATGTTTATGCTATTTATTCTAACACATTCCAACTTTAGATTAAAAAGCTCTTGTCCATTATCACAGCTCTTCCTATAGTAGATAACAAATAGGCATGGAAACCCCTGGAAAGGACATCAATGGTGACCAAGACATTAATGCATTTGAAACGAATTATATGTAATCCCATACTTTTGTTTTGGATTAGGTATATTATAAGTGTTCATACTTTGGGCCAACATGGATCATCTCTTTCTGACATTGATAATCTCTATCTATCATTTTCTTATTTAGCTACAAAATAAAATAAAAAAGCAATAACAATAATTTTGAATAA